ATTTGGAAATTACTCGAGTACTATGGCGTACAGTGCCCAAATATTCATCAACCTTATTCAACAGCTAGCTGTACGACAACGGCACATGTCACGTGATCCACAACGGAAAACTCAGCAAGGAGTTTGGAGTAAACACAGGAGTCAGACAAGGGTGCTAGCTTATTATCACCAATGATATTCCTAATTGTGGTGGACTGACTGGATTATGCGTCAGACAGTGGGAAACAAGAAACGGGACAGGGATATCCTGGACCGACGCGAAGAACCCAGAAGACCTGGATTTCGCACGTGGATAATTTATGTTTGATGTCACACACGATCGAAGACTTACAAGCGAAAACCGACAAACTGGTCGAAGAAGCAGCAAAGACAGGACTTCAGGTAAACATAGACAAGACGGAGGTTATGAAAATAACCAACCGACAACAACAGCAGCATCAGCAACATCCAACGACAATCACCATCAACGGGAGGGATTTGAAAGAGGTTACTTCATCACTCACTTATCTAGCATTGAGCATTGTCTCAACTACACAAGGAACGGACGACGATGTCAAATCCAGTGAGAATCGGGGAGGCGAGAAACACATTCATCAACCAACTGAAACCAATCTGGAACTCTTCGTCACTCAGCCATCATCAACAACAAAATTCAGTCGGATTTTCAATACAAACGTCAAGTCAGTCATTTATTCTATACGGATCAGAAACTTGGCGGGCGGGTCACAAAGAATATTTTCAACAGCCTGTTGCAGACGCTACCTTTATCAACCAACAACTAAATTCGCTTGATCTATACTGAAGATCAGATGGCCGGGCCGGAAAGAATCACCAACAAGAAACTATAGGGACAAAAAAAACAAGAACCAATCGCCAACCAACAAATATGCAGGAGAAAGTGGATTCAGATGGATTGGACACCCACTGAGGAGGCCACTGGGTGACATCGCGAGCGCGTCAGGCCATTGCTCGAGTGGAACCTGAAAGGGAAGCGGCAAGTGGGACGTCAGTGCAAGGGTGACATGGAGGAGATCGTGTCAAGAGGAGTCGAAACAGTATGGACTAACTTACATGGATGCAGGTGAAAAGTAGAGCAGAAGGAAGACAGAAGTGGCTAGTGGAGACGTGGAGTTGAAGCCCTATGTTCCAGTAGGAACCCAAGGGAACAATAATAATAATAAACATTAAAACGTTACTTGACCTACTGAGGCTTCCAAATCCGTGTTTATTTGTGAAGAGTTTTCAGCAGTTGCGAAATAACTTCATCTCCGCTGTCTTTAGTAAGCAGATAATACTTAAAGTAATTGTAAACACGAACACCATACTTTTTTATTGTTGTTCTTGAGTAGAAGTATTTAAATAATTAATCCTGAAAATTCGATAAATATCGATTTAAAGAATGCTTAAATGCCTTGATGGATATCATCAGCTCTACTGGAATTTAGCAGGTTAATGTTATTTAACGCAACGCGTTCAATGACCATTTAATCATTATCATATAGTTGAAAAAATTTCTACCTTATTTTGATACATACAACACATTCTACAAATATCGATTGAATGATTTTGAACTAGCCCATCTTTACTTTTTTTTGCTGTCTAAACAGTCACTTTTGTATTTTCTTTTAATGAAAACTGAATTACAGCCTCCCTTTCATCCTGGAAAATGGACTTTAAGATTCTTTTGGTTTACTACAAAAATGCCCACCAATTTTTATTGTCATCATACCACTTTTAAGTCAATCATTGGATTCTATTTTAGTTCATCTAAAGACAGTCATATTACTAAAAATGTTGAATATATATATACATATATAATCTTAATTTTTTAGAAGGTATACCGTATGATATAGTGATCAGAAGATAAACTGATTTCGTTTTACAAGAGGTTACTTGGTTTCAGATTGGATCACTGACTGACATCAGTTAGAGAAGCACTGAAGATAACGGAGTACTGAGCATCTATGTCGTCTTATACTGGGATTCTCCAGCGACACTCACTTATGACTTGATCAGATGTCAAACCGAGGACCTTCCGGTTACAAGACCATCTAGCCAATGGGACAGAATCCAGGAGTCTATGAATTTTAACTTCCTCGAATTTGTGACATATAGCGCATGGATTCCTCGCAAGTCAAACTTGAATGATTTTGCCTAGAGTTCTAGTCGAAGGCCGTACCAAGTGTGATCCATCAAGTCAAGCGTGAGGGTAAATACTCGTCGATCACATTTTCTGACTATTGTACCAAATGTCGTAAATTGGCGGAAGTTAGAGTTCATGGGCCACTGAACTCTGTCCCTTTGGCGCTCATCTCTTAGCTCGAAAGACCTGGTTTCAACTCCCTGTGGCATCATGGTTGCGTACTCATAAACTAAGACTTGATTCCATTTTTGAGAGCAGGTTCACGTTTGACCAACAAACCACCACCATGCGCTTGTTAGGCCACACAGTTTCAAAACACTTACTTTTTGTCATAAGGTTACACTGATTCGACTTGGTTCATATTAGAGGTTTATTGTGTCAATTCAAGCAACGAAATAAATTAAACCTTAGAAAACTTGATATTTAGTTTATTCTGTCAAAAGTAAATTCTTGTAGATATTGTTCTTTTAAAACTCCGATGAATAATGTCATCGCGTAGCGTCAGTCGCAATTATTTCAGTGGTTAGATACCAAAGTTGCATATAAATTCCTTGTGTAAATTCGTACACTGAATTTCTTACAACACCAGTAAATAAATTATTGAAGGCTAACTTTTTCCGAGTTAGACACATTTCTGCACTATATGAAAGCTTCGCTCTGTGGTCATCCAAATATTTCACAAAATATACTTCGTAATGACAGTTATAAGATTGTCGAAAGCTCATCTGTATCGAAATAACTGATATGAGAACTTCCTCCATCAGCAATCTATTTACAATCTTGATACCTTTCTGAATATTTCAACTAAATTTCTAATTGTTACCCTTTTCTCCTGAGCTGTATATTGCTGTTCTAACGTTTGCATATTCTTTGAATTAATTTTCTTTGCTTTTTGATTGATCCTTAATTTTAGCATTTGCGTTTGCTGTTGTGTGATGGTTTTAATAATGTGTTGTTTTATGGCTGAGATTTTGTCGAAATGAACTCAGTGTTACGCTGTGGAGTAATGGCTTGACCTTGAACTGTCTGCTGAAAATCATGTTTGTTCTGTTTGATCCTTACAAAGAGATTTTTAATCCTACCCTCTTGGAATATTTGTACTGGTTTCCGGGTGATTTACATTTGTGTTTGGTCAGTCAACTTTGTTGTTCTTTAGAAACTTTTGAACCGTAAAGCTGCTAGAAGTTATTGTTGAGGTAGTTTGATATAAGTTATCATTGTTCAACAGTACCACAGGTTCTGTCACATCATAGTGACTTTTCGATATTGTTAGAATATAATTCTGGATGGTGCATTACTCACAAAAGTTTGGCGAGCTGTATAGAAAAATGCATCCAGTGGTTCCTGCGCTAAGATAGAAATGCTTGAGTTCCAGTCATTACACCCACTTTACGTTATCGATTCCTTTAATCGTACTGCAATTATCTGATATTATTCACAGAAAGGCTATCATAATCGCAACTCACTTGAATCAAAAATGACTAAATCACCGTCTTTGTTTCAGATTTATATCAGAAGTGTGATTTCTTCAGTTAATAGCCCGCGAGTAACCTTCTCAATCTTAAAATGACCACTGACTGCATTATTCGATAGTGAATATGCAGTACTTGTCGTCTTTTTTACCTAATTAACTCTTTTAGTTTCATTTTTTAGGTGACTTCTCAATGAAGAAGCCTTCCAGCTCCTTTGATTTACTTCAGCGCACTTAGTGTCCCGAAAATATTTTTATCAAATACTTATTGGTAAGTATTAAGAGCATCCTATAGAACTTAATTAGAAAAACCATAAATGTAAAGATCAATATTTACTCTAATCTGAGCAGGCGAAAATTATCACTTAATGCAATTAATAAAATTTTCAAGTATTGGTTTTGTGGGGATTTTGTTTGATTGTTCGAAGAATTTCATCATCAGCTGACATCAATTAGAGAAACATTGGAAAACTACCAGGAAGTACCGGTCAGCCTAGTTTGGGATTCTCCAGCAGTACGCACCAACAGACAAGGGTTCGAACCCAGAACCTTCTGGTTACAAGGCTAGCGAGCTCATAGACCATTAAGCCACTGGGAGCCGATCCAGTGACCAAACCATGAATTCTAACTTCTGCCAATTCACGACATAGCGTGGCCATTTCGCAATGTCTTCTTCGATGATTAACTGTCCTCATCTCCGACCTACCATACCCTACTGGTCATGGCTTCTCATCTGAAAATTTATCTGATGCTCACTAGCGAGTGGCCCTATTTAGACAGTGACCTGGGGCTCTGGTGGAAATGCATGACCAGTAGGATAGAGAAGGTTGAAGAAGAAGAGGATATTATGAAGTGGTCACGCTATGTCGTGAATTAGAAGAAGTGAGAATTCATGGGCTGACAGCTGAATCGGGTGCCAGTGGCTAAATGGTCTACGAGCTCGCTAGCCTTGTAACTGGAGGGTCCTGGGTTTGAACCCTGGATGTGAGTGCCCACTCCTGAAGAGTTCGTAACCAGGCTGAAGAAACAGCTGTCCAGTGCTCCGTGGTGGTTTTACAATGTTTCTCTAACTGATATCAGCTCATGATGAAATCCTCCAAACAATCAATAAAAGGCACTATAAAATCCTTCTCAGTCTTTTTTGGAGAAAACTATAGTCTATTATTATTTCATTGAGCATGGCTAATTCTTCTTAATGTTCTTTTCACTTCAGATAAATTTCAGGTCATTACTTCTTTTAAAAAGTTTATTTAACTACCGAGTTAAATATACAATACTATCTATCCAATGTTCAATTAATGCTTTTATTTAACCTCAAAATGAATCTTACTATTCAAAAAACCTTGAAAATTTCAACCACCAAGAATTTTAGTCTGAGGAACTTACCATTGTATAATTGCGTGCATACTGAATTTGTTCACTAAGACATTGATTAAATAAATGAATGTCACTCCATATATTAACGAAATTTCCGTCACAATCCTATTCAAAGAGAAAGTTTTGATGCAAAAATAATTCATCCCCAAAATAAAACTCATCAAAATTCAAAAAATATATTTTTAAACTACAATTTAAAGGTAACTGAATTTGTTTATCTGACGTCACAAACGTTTCTGGTAGCAGACTGGTAAATATTTTCTTCTACGTTGCATCTTTTTTATCTTACCGCCGAGGACATTTTCGTTCACAGTCTCGACAATCGAAGAATAAATGCATCTTGTGATACTCTTCCACACTGTATCAGCAATTTTATTGTCAGTTTACAATACATATATATATATATATGAGGATTAAATTTAATAGAGTGACCAGAGAGTCTCGGAATATAAGTTATTACCTGGTAATGATGACGTCATTGAGTAAACAAAGTATATTTAATGCAATCTTTTGGCGATATCTTCTGCTGGGCACTTATTTATAATTAGACATAAAATCAGTTATTTTAAATAATCCAGTTAAAAATACTTGATGACTATTCTACCTTTCGCCTACTTGACTAAAAAAATTCTAGCGGCTTGTTTAAATCACTGGGCTACCAGTATTTTTTCCCATCCATTAAACTGTATCATACATACTGCATTTCATATAGTTTTAACCGCCAAAACTCGTTCATGGGTCGAAACCTACTCTCACGTAAATCTTCAAAAGTGTTTCAATCTACTCCTACGGGCATTCTAAAGACAATTGGAAAAAAATCTTAGCGGAGTAATGAAGTATTCTTTAAATGCAAAAATATTGCTTCAAATGATGTTTTACTGATTATTTTATTACTTGAAGATCTTGAACAAGAAGTAAATATCTTGAGGCAAAACAGACGGTGCACTATGTTACAAAAGAACTTTTCAGTACAAAGCCGTTGTTATAATTATTATGGTGATTACTTACTTCCTTACCTACTTACATACCAACTTTTTACTTCATCTTCAACTACGACCCAATAATAAGAGATATAATTCGGGCACTGTGGTCGTCTGCAATTCCATACTAAACGCAAAAAATCTGAGCAGAGAATATCCTTTCCGATAAATTCCTCTTCGGCTCTACAATTATGTGTATTATGTTATATACATAGAATATTCTAGATTAGTAGTCAATAACAATATTAGTCTTGTTTAAATAGTATCGATTTGTAAAGTAAGATCAACGCAATTACAGTTCATTAAAGATGCTTGAATTATTCTAATAATAAAGATATAATAGTAAATAAAATATCAACTAAAATAAGGAAAATTCCACAAAAATTCAGGATCACTCAAACCTAGATGACCAACGTAATTATAATGTCTGAACTAACTTCTTTTGGATGCACAAATTAGGCTTGTTAATATGGATCCCCACAACCAGCCTCAGCAATATTTAGTAGTCGAACCCTGAAGGCGAAATTGAGATTCCTAGGCATGCGGTAAATGATCCTGAAAGCATGGTTAACGTCAATCTTGTGTTCTGTATCCACAAGATGAGACAGAATAGCGCTGCGAATAGATTTTGTTTGTCCTTTGCTTAACCATGTAGGGTGATGTTCGGAAATTCTACGAGAAACATGCCTAATTGTCCGGCCTATGTAACTGGCTCCACAGAAGTTAAATTCACCACACGCCATCGCGTAGCCAAATGGTTAGTCGAACTCTTACAGCCTCTTCATAACGAGCTGGTGAAACACAGTGTAAAGGATACTTTCGGATGTGTTGAATTGATAAAAGATTTAAATGTTGACAATAAATTCATGATATCATTCGACGTATCTTCGTTATTCACCAATGTACCACTTATGAGATAGTGGATTTTGTATACGAAGAACTCAAAAGACGAAACATCGATGTTGGCATTCCTATATCTTTTATGAAAGAGCTACTCTTGAAATGTACAATGAATGTCCACTTTTTATTAATAAGGAACTATATAGACAAATTGACGGTGTGGCAATGGGGTCACCACTAGGACCCATTCTAGCTGACATTTTCCTTTCGAAATTAGAAAATGGACCTTTGAAGGATGTTATTAATGAATTCGAATTCTATTGTTGTACATGGATGATTCATTTTTGATTATGAAAAACGAGAAGGAAGCAAAGAACATCCTGGATAAATTTAAAGAGGTTCATCCTGCAATAAATTTTACTATTGAGTATTTCATTTTTAGACGTCTTTATGACCAGAAAAGAGGATGGCACAATAAGAAGAGTATATAGAAAACCTACATCAACATGACAGTATACTCATTTTTTCAGATTCGTGCCCTTAAAATACAAACGCAGTCTGACAAAGTGCCTGGTTCACAGAGCAAGAGCGATTTGCTCGGATGGATGTCTTGATGAGGAACTGAATAATATTAAACTGTTACTAAGTGAAAATGGTTATCCGGAAAATTTTATTGATAAGAGTATGAATCTAAAATTAAAGCAGCCCAAGTTACCAGCAGTTCCAAAAAAGGGCCTTATTCATACAGATGCAGTTCCTTGGGGACAACACTAGCGAGATACTAACACAACTCATTAGAAATGCGGTAAAACGAGCATTCCCTTCTGCTGAATTACGTTGTATCTTCAAAACCCCTCCTCTTCTGCGTTCGGGAGTAACAGACAAACTACCTAATTTCGCCTCATCCATGTGTATCTACCAATTTAACTGCTTCTGTGGAGCCAGTTACATAGGCCGGACAATTAGGCATGTTTCTCGTAGAATTTCCGAACATCACCCTACATGGTTAAGCAAAGGACAAACAAAATCTATTCACAGCGCTATTCTGTCTCATCTTGTGGATACAGAACACAAGATTGACGTTAACCATGCTTTCAGGATCATTTACCGCATACCTAGGAATCTCAATTTCGGCTTCAGGGTTCGACTACTAAATATTGCTGAGGCTGGTTGTGGGGATCCATATCAACAAGCCTAATTTGTGCATCCAAAAGAAGTTAGTTCAGACATTATCGCTACCTTGGCCATCTAGGTTTGAGTGATCCTGAATTTTTGTGGAATTTTCCTTATTTTAGTTGATATTTTATTTACTATTATATCTTTATTATTAGAATAATTCAAGCATCTTTAATGAACTGTAATTGCGTTGATCTTACTTTACAAATCGATACTATTTAAACAAGACTAATATTGTTATTGACTACTAATCTAGAATATTCTATGTATACTAACATATGTATAATTGTAGAGCCAGAAGAGGAGTTTATCGGAAAGGATATTCTCTGCTCAATTATTTTGTGTTTTATGGATGTCTGAATTCCAAATTAGTATAATTTGATTTGATAAAATACGCACTGATACAACATTATTTATCGATATGATTATCAGGAATTAACTGGGTTGAAAATGTCATCAATATGTAATCCTGCATCACTGAGTTTTTTTATCATAGAAAATTATTCTATTTCGGAACAACCTACTGAAAAGATACTATCAAGTAATATGTTCTCGTATACTATCTAAATTGCAAATTGGTTACATACGAAGTATGAAATCATTTGTTTATCTGTTGAAAACTAAAAATGGAACTTTTACAGATCCCAAAATCCAAAAGATTTAATAGTGCAGTATAAGCTGTAAATAGCTCACACCTAAAATTCAAGTGGCATAATTAATCCTTCTCGACAGAGATGTAGTCTACAATTCGTTTATCACTGTATCTTTACCTGTCAAATGTCAGAGTGACTGCTCCAAACTAAATGGCTCTTTATCAGGAATCAGCCAGTGGTCCAAGGAAAACGGTCTAACCTTAAATCCCTCTAAATGTCAAACAGACAATTTCACCTTCAGGCATAAATCTGACCTAAACAGACTGGTTAGCACTCACGAGGTGTGCAACATAGATGGCACTGAAATAGAAACCAAGTCGGAAATTAAATATCTTGGCGTCGTTCTATTTGCTGATCTTCCCTGGTCGTCTTATATCTCGATGATTTTTAAGAAAATATTCCCTCTTACCTTCTACATCAAGAAGTTAAGACACTTTGGCATAACCCAATCCTTACTCCTACAATTCGTTAACTCTTGCATCCTGCCTATTATTCCCTATTGTTCCCCCTTAGTTTTTCCACGGCTACTGAAGAAAGACTACGCCTTATTACGCAGGATGTTAAAGGTTGTCAGCAGGGTAAGCAACGTGCCACTTAACCAGCTTCTTAATATTCTGGTCGACAGGCACATGGACTCATGTGAAAAATGGGCTAAATCCATTTATCTAACTCATACCACCCTCTTCATTCATAACTCTCCCCTTGTATCTCATCAGGCAGAACCAGAAGTCTATATAGGAAACTATATGCTCTCACTAGCAAGTACAAAAACTCCACCATACCCTAATTAGCTCATGTTCTATGCGATAAAGAAAGCATTAGGTGTGATACCTATAACTTATTAAATAGTCAGTAGAACAACTGGATCTCATCTCTCCAACTCATATCATTTACAGGTACAACGTCTTCTTTTTTTTCTTTCCCTTTTCTCTCTCTTTTTTCTGTTATGTGCTGCTTTGTTTCTTTCTTCCTTACAAACTCTATTTAAACCACTCTTCTTCGTTCTTTCACACTCTGTATATCTAACCTTTTTGTTACCGCTTACTCCAGTAAATATGCTAGCCTCTACTTTTCTAACACCTTCAAACAGCGTTCAATTTTCGGATTTGCTACCGACATGCCAATAATGTTGTTGCCATAATGAACTGATATTTCCTTAATCTATGTAGAATTTTATTTATTGTTGATGTACTAATTGGATGCAATATTGTAGTAAAATGCTGAGAATTGCATTCTGTATCCCAAGTGCAGTTTTGGAATAAAGTAAATTATTATTATTATTATTACTGCTAGTGTTAAACGATAATGTCATAAAAAATTGTATAGGTAATAATAGCTTTATTCTGAGCTATAAGCTACAGAATGTTCAGTACTTTCTTGTCTATCCCCTATACAGAATCTTCAAATGAAACAATAATCTATGGTATATCCTTCGACAGAATCGTGTTTTAACTGAAACATGCTCCAACCCCTGACGTGCTTTTCTCTTTAAAACACCCCATGCGGTATATTTTAAGCCATCCAAAAAGGCCAATGAATACAGACTATTCTTCAAGGACGTAAGCGTAATCATGAACACTTATGCATTAAAGTTGATTTAAGTCACCGCATATTGTCACCATGACAACCCTCATCTACCAATCTATTTTATTTCCGCGAGACCTAAAAACCATTGAAATTCCATCCAACTGGCTGAATGGTCACCGGGTTGTTCCCTTCCCCTGAAGTTCCTTGGGATTCGATTTCTGGTGGCCTTGTTTGTGTACACTGCTAAACAGTCTTAAACTAGGAAGGAATAAATGTCCAGTGTCCTACTTATCTGACAAAAACTTGCTGAGTGATATAAGTATAAAACTTGAGCACTGTGGTAGGGTATAACTCCACTACGGAGAAGATTTCATTTTGATAAATCACACAGTGTTGCACAGTATTATTAACTGATGACGTTTCGAGCACAAATTATTGCCGCTCATAATCATATCAAGTTACTCACACAACTTTTTTACCTCATTTATATACATGTTTGGAATTGACTAGATATTGGAATCAAAATCAATATGAGATATTGTACATTCAGAAATAATAATAATATGAGTGTTATTGACCAATTAAAATTAGATGGGAAATAAGACGAGTGTTTTTATAGTCATAATAAGTTACTTGTTAGAATGCTGTGAGGTGTTTGAATTGGAATAGAATTTTATGATTATTTATTATCCTCTTCTGATTTGACTGACTGGTGGTAATAATATCTTCCATATTTCTGGTATTTGCATTGAGTAATTTCTGTTGCATGTGTTAGGTGTAGACTCAACGAACAACGATTCTGTAATCAACCTCTCTCTCCACCTACCTAGATTACTTTTTAGAATTTTAACCCTATCCCACCCTATTGTGTGGTTGTGTGTTAATGCATGCATTGCAATAGCTGAGCTTTTTTCTAAATTACTTATCTTTTGGGGTCAAACATTCTTCCCATAGCTAAATTCTTATGTTCTGACAATCTGACTACCCCTGGCCTACTAGTTTGACCTATGTAGTTGACCTGACTCACAGTTATTGCAAGGTATTTTGTAAATTATATTATTTTGGTTAATTGGGTCCACTGGGTCTTTTAGCCTACAGAGCTTGTCTCTGAGTGAGTTTGAAGGTTTGAATGCCACTCTAATTCCCGCTTTATTAAGAATCCCACCACATAGGGTCTCAGGTGTCCCTTCCTTATATGGTATAACAGTGGATGGCTTATATTCTCTCTTATTTATGTTATCATTACTAGTTTCACAATTATTTTTAATTTGCTTTTGGCCTTTACTGATATTTCTGATGAATTTTATAGGATAGTTATTCAACACCAACGCTTCTTCTATCTGTTTTATTTCATCATTTAGTCTTTTCTTGTCCTACTTAGTGCTATGGCTCGGTTTGTTTGACACTTCACTAAGCCTGCCTTAACAGTTAACGGATGAGACGAACTAAAGTCTAAATATCTATTGGAATGCGATGGTTATTTATAAACACTAGTATATGGTTTGCCTTCTTCTATTCGTTTTATTTTACAATCTAACATCATGGCTAATTCTCCTTGTTCATTTTCCGATTCAAATGTGAATTTTATTCCTTCTACTTGTGAGTTTATATGTGTCAAAAAGCTAGAGATATGTTCTGTTTTTAACACTGTGAAAGTGTCATCCACATATCTCCACTATATTTTTGGAGTAGGATTCCAATATCTAATCGATTTCACACATGTATATATAAATGAAGAAAAAAAGTTGTGTGAGTAACTTGATGGGATTATGAGCGGCAATAATTTGTGCTGGAAACGTCATCAGTTAATATTACTATCCAACACCACTGTGTGATTTATCCAAATGAAATCTTATCTATAATGGAGCTGCTGAGTGATTTCATATTGTGAGGAAATCATATCCTTCACAAAAACTAAAATCTGAACATTTTATCATGTACATCAGAGTAGTCAGATGAACCGAACAATCATTCCTTAAAACATTTTGACTAATACTGTCACAGATAATACTTGCGTTCAGCTATTAAATCCAGCTTAAGATTACCAACCGTTATGTTGTAACAGAAAGAAAATATAAATTCTGAGAGACAATCAGCATATGTTTGTATCATAAAAGAACTTCAAATAATCCCAGTATTTTTATGAAATTTTGTTTTTGATTTCCTAAATAGGCTGGGATTATCTGGAGTGCCTTTATTATGATTCACTTAAACTATACGCTGGACTTGCTCCAGGATATTCGTAACAGTTATAGTCGGAATATTATTGTTTTATCACTATGTATACAGTTGGTTTTTCGCTACATTTACTGCAGTTAGATAAATCAAGCAGAAACATTGGTAACATAAGTCTCAGTTTCTCTGAAAACAACTCAATTAAGTCCTGAACATGTAAGAGATACTCGAATGGTAAAACGTCTTTGTGAAATTACGTCTGTCTGCTGTTCAAGTGTAACTCTGTCACCAGTCTACTAATATACACTAACAAGTCAGTTTGAATCGAAGCACTGCGTTTAGTGGATAATTGTAATTAGCTATTTTTGTAAGCGTTGTATAAAATCTACCCATATAAACTCATTTTACAGGGGGTAATCAATGAGAAGAATTGTCACTGACCTCCAAAGTGAATACCAGAATATGTTGACTCAAAAGCACGAACTTCTCAAGTGGTTAGATATCTTTAAAATGATAATCCGGGTTAGCGATCGGGTCAGCAACTGTAAAACTTTACAAGTAGGCTTATTTTCTACCACATACGATCAAAATGAGGTGTTCTCAACACACTACCCGTTTTAGTTATATCGATTCCTGTACTTTATTCACTGCTAAAATTGACCGAAACGAGAAAAGCGACCTCCCAACTACTTAGGACTTTAAATGAATCAAGAATAATAATAATGATAATGATGATAAGAGGTAGAATAATAAGTAAAACGTATTACCATTGTAGATTCAGAGTCACGACCATCTCTTTTTTGTACACAGAGACCTGGTTTATAAACTCGAATTGCACAAGCCTTTGCAATTGCAAGCATCTTCTTGTTTCTTTGTCTGCTGTTATATTCTCTAATGACTAATTGTTTATCTAATTGAAGAGTAATTGAAGCGTAATGCAATTTATCTTAATTTTTATCTCTCATACTCTGTCTCCCCTTATCTATTTGAACATGACCTGGAAAACATTCGCACTTGTACTTAGGACTTTACTGAACATTACAATAAATTCCGTCTTAGTAAATTAGACGGTGACCATGCCACTTTAAAAAATCTGTCATCACTCGGTGACCGAAATTAAGCAACGTTGATCCTCGTTAATATCTGCATGGGAATGCCGGATATTGCCAGATACTCGTGTGTTGACAGTTTAATAGTAGAACGCTCGCCACCCCCACATAAGGTCCGGGTTGCATTCCTGGCCAACCCACTCCCAAATATCGCCTAGTATATCAGAAAATAATAAACCCTAAAAAGAAGGAAGTTCGGTGTGAGGCTGACAACGACACTGCATAAAATAAAACAACACTGCTAAAGAAACTTTAAAAGTTTTTGAAGCCATATACTCCGCTTGGAATGCAAAGAATGAAAAAGTCAACTGATGACGTTTACAATCAAATAACTGATTACAGCTTACGTGTCTTGTAGTATCCATTCCATCTATAAATTCGTTCTTATTGTGGTTTTGATATTTGATGTACCTTTCTTCACTTGATGAAACTGATGCCAGTTTTTTGATCTTCTGGGTGAGTAGCTATAATGAAACATGTTACAGGTAATAACGCATCATTCAGTGCAGTTCTATGACAGATTTCTTGAGGTTTCTTATACAAAAAGGTTAATTTTAGTTATAATGTGATTACACCCTACCTTACAAAAATAAGAGAATTATTCAGCGTAACTGATTCTTGACCGTACAGTGTCTTACGTTTGAAATTAGTCAGATATCAAAAATGTCTAGTATTAGAGGGGCATGATGTCAGTGCCTCGGTTGTGTTCACTATTGTCTGTAGTCATGTCACACTTATCCCCCCCACCCCCTTGTAGTCAATTACAAAGAACTTAATAGAGACATTTATTACAGAGAAAATTGTCGAAACAATCTGCACCAACTACCGCGAGTAAGTCATACATTCCCAAGATGTCAGATGAATACAAGAAAATAAGGAGAGAGGTGAAGACTTTGACTACCTATGAAGTATTCTATTGTTAAAATTCTAATTTGAACAAGAAGAGAAATCCTTGAGCAGTCATAAATTATTCCTGAAGTTTGTACATCTCTGACATGGACACTCGAATACTGCACATGGTATAACTTGTGAGATGGGGGTATCAAGCGCGGCTCTATGTGATGTAGGAGTAAAACTTGAATACAATGGCAGACTGTAATTTCACTCTGATGGTTTAAGACATGTTCCTGAGCCATTCAGATAGGATTATTCGTTAACTGGAGCTGGAACTAATTCATTCTAATACATTTGAACACCCTGACAACAGGCTACATACTACTAGTCTGTCATCAAGTAATCAAACGACTTTTAAAATCAATTTTTATAATTTCGTAGCGCTTCGTTCCTTCACTTTTATTGGTAGCAAACTTTTAAATGAAAACCTGCAACACCTACTGAATCATTCCAGTTGTATGCGACCAATTTTGATCTGATAAACAAACTTTTACTAGAACAGGGAATGATAACTTGTGCCAGGCCTTCGAGTAGAACCCGAGTGGGTAAGGTGAGTTGGGCGCATGTTTGAAAGTGATATGGAGGAGATCGAGCGTGGAGGCGATTAGAGACTATGGGCAATCCTGGAGAGAGCTGAATAGGACTGTAAAGAAAAGGTCAAAGCAGAGATACGTTGTTGAAGCCCTGTGTTCCTTTTGGAATCCTAGGGAACAATAATAATAAATAGTGAATATGAGAGCTCTCTTAAGAGATAAGTAGTATTCATCTGACCCGAATTTTTCTGATCAGCAACAGTTATACTTATAGTAACTTTACTTCCTTGTCACTGAGTATAAAGCCCAACCACATCAATGCATACACTGATCTACAATCATATTGGGAGGTGAGCTAGAGAGGAACTCCTGTAATCCAATATGATCAAGAAAGGTTGATTAGTAAAAGTTTGTTTATCAGATCAAAATTGGTCGCATACAACTGGAATGATTCAGTAGGTGTTGCAGGTTTTCATTTAAAAGTTTGCTACCATTCACAACTCTCCCCTTGTATCTCATCAGGCAGAACCAGAAGTCTATATAGGAAACTATATGCCCGTACAAAACTCATCCATACCCTACCTAGCTCGTGTTCTGTGCGATAAAGAATGCATCAGGCATGAAACCTTTAACTTATTAAATAGTCAGTTGAACAAATGGATCTCGTCTTTCCACGCCACATCATTTACAGGTGCAACGTTTTCTCTCTACCTTTTATTTTGTTATGTGTTGTTTTGTTTCTCTTTTCCTTGCAAACTCTACTTAAAACATTCTTGTTCGTTCTTTCACACTCTGTATACCTCGACCATTTTGCTATCGCTTACGCCAGTAAATATGCTAGTAGTATCCACTTTTTTAACACCTTCAAACACTCTGTTTAAATTTTAGCTTTGCTACCGACATGCAAATATGTTGTTGTCAAAAACTGACCGAGATAACCTTAATCTATGTAGAATTCTATTTATTGTTAATGTACTAAGTGGATGCAATATTGTAGTAAAATGCTGAGAATTCCATTCTGTATCACAAGTACTGATTTGGAATAAAGCTTATCTTATCTTATCTTAAATAGTGAACACAACCGAGGCACTGACATCATGCGCCTCTTATACTAAACAAGTTTATTAAATCCCATTTTTCATATTTGGCTATTTTGTACGAAATAACACAGATATATTTGCGATTGTACAGCTAAGAAAATGAATTCACCGAAAAGAGAATCTTCGCTGATCTACGTGTTTTTTTTGTCATTCATGCCTGGGTGGGAATTGTCCATGAATTCTCACTTAATTTCATGCATATGATAAAGTTGAGTGATTGAACTTCTACCTGAATAAAAAGCAGTTCGTAATGATGACATACACTTATACTATCCTCCTATAAAGAGTATTATATAGCAGCTAAAATAAACTGAAAGGTGATAAGAACAGTCTAACTGAACTGACATTCTAATCTTTCAATGGCAGATCACTTTAATTGTAGTAGGCTGAATCTTATGTCGGGATAAAGTGAAGCTTTTAGACTACATAGAATAATAAGTATACAATGTTTGTTGTATCTGTAGAAACAACAGATAAAACTATTAAGGAAAACTTACCACTCAGATATTCACCATGGTTGCAGTGATGTTTTTTTATTCATCTGTCACATCGCCAATATCATCACAGTAGAATGATAACTCACCTTTGTGATGTATTCAATTTCATATGACTGTTGGAAAATTCTCGGTTAGCTTTGAGTTTGTATATTTGCTTAATGATGTCTTATCATATAACTGAGTCGCTGTATAAATGTTATTATTCCCTTGGGTTCCCAGAGGGACACAGGGCTTCAACACAACATCTCTACTTTTTCCTATTCTCCGCGGCCTTCCTTATCTGACATCACGATTGCCCATAGTCTCTCGTCTCCTGCTCGCACAACTTCTTCCATCTCGTTTTTCATTCGCGTCCTACACTAGGATCTGGCGTGGTGTGTCACTCAATAGTCCCCTCAGCACATGTCCAATCCATCTCCGTTTCCACCGCCATATCTGTTGAGCGACAGGTTCTCGCTTGGTCCGTTCCCAGAGTTTCTTGTTACTAATTCATTCTGGTCTGCCATCTCATCTTCAGTGGGGAACCAGTGAAGCAGCTATTGATAAAAGCCCTCAGTGGCCCATTGGAAATGTTTTTCGTGACATGTCAAGTTTCTGACCCATATAGGAGAACAGACTGACTTGCCATTAGTGTTACAAATCTAAATTTTGTTTTCTCTACTGAGTACATCAAGCCTCAGATGGATGAAAGTCTATCTTGTCTTTCCTATCCCGGTTTAGACATCCTCATCCGTATGCTGAGCCTGCAGTTGAAACGATGCTGCCTAGACAAGTGAAGGTAGTGACCTCTTTCAAGTTCCTCCCGTCGATAGTGATTGGTGCTTCTTGTTGCTGTTGGCTGGTCGGTTATCTCCATCATCTCCGTCTTTGCCAAGTTCATTTGAATTCCTGTCATTTCTGGCTGCCTCTTCTGACAATCTGTTGGTTTCCGCCTGTGGGTGTTCAAATTTCTGTGACATTAGATATAAATCGCCCACGAAATCCAGATCTTCTGAAGTCTTGCAACCAGCCAAGCGTATTCCTGTCTTCTCGATCCCGACGCAGAGTCTTCTGCATAATCCAGTCGACCACAATTAGGAATATCATCGGTGATAGTAGAGAGCCTTGTTTTACTTCTGTCTTCATTTCAAAGGTTTCTCTGAAGTACAGGTATCATAATTGGTTTACTACTAACAATATCACACATCTCAGTGATGAAGCTTCCATGACTAAATGTAAAAGCTTACAGAATATTAAACAGTTTAATCCTCATCCGGGGCCAAAATATCCTACCTATTGTCTCAATACACAACATCTTTGTTCAACTGGTTAAAAAAGAAAAATCAAAAAGATGTCAAGTAGAATTTTTTACAATGTGTTACGTGTGATTTACTTTATTTTATTCAAAGAATGGTTACTGAACAAGGAATATTATTTTCGATAACTTCATTATCAATTTCTACAGTTGTATATACATAATAGTCGATAAATTAGTGTTATTAACAACATTAATGTTTAAGTAAAGTCGAATCATTAATAATAATTTAGGCTATAAGCAGCTGATGAGAAACCAACGAAATAAATGATGGTGCCATATTATTCTGCACAAACCACTGTTGTTCTTATTATTATTATTGTATCCTTTAGTTCCTTGAGGAACATAGGGCTTCAGCTGCGCACCTCCATTGCCTTCTGTTTTCTGACAACTTTTTCACCCCGCTCCAGGTCTGTCCACATGCTTTCATCTCCTCCTCGCATGACCTCCTCCAAGTCACCCTCACGCTGACGACCAACTCGCCACTTCCCTTTCGGGTTCCACTCCAGGGCTTGTCTAGTGATGTTAGTAGTTTCCTCAGAGTATGGCCAATCCATCTCCATTTTTTCCTGCCTATTTGTTTCACAATCAGTTCCTGCTGTTGGTTCGCTCCCAGAGATCCCTTTTGCTGATCTTTTCCGGCCGGCACCTGATCTTGGGTATTGAACGAAGACAACTGTTAATGAAGGTCTGAAGTTTGTTTGAGATGCTCTTTATGACTCGCCAAGTCTCTGATCCGTATAGTATCACTGACTTCACATTGGAGTTGAAAATCCAGATGTTATTTTTGTTGGTGAGTGCTGTTGACTTCCACACAGACTTAAGAGTAATGAAAGCCTGTCTTGCTTTTCCGATTCTTGCTTTGATATTCTCATCACTTCCGCCTATAGTTGAAACGATGCTTCCCAGGTAGATAAAGGAGGTTGTTTCTTTCAGGTTCCTCCCATTTATGCTGGCTGATTGTTGTCTGTTGTTGTTGTTGTTGATGTTGGCCAGGAACCTTCATCACCTCTGTTTTATCTGTGTTTACTTGAAGTCCTATCTTTGATGCTTCTTCTGCCAACTTGTTGCTTTTCACTTGCATATCTTCCAGTTTATGGGAAATCAGACATATATCATTGGCGAAATCCAGATCCTCCATGTTTTTGTGTGGGTCCATTTTATGCCTGTTCCCTCGTTGGTTGCCATTGTCTGTCGCATTATCCAATCGATTGCAATCAGGAAGATCATTGGTGATAGTAGACAGCCTTGTCTCACTCCCGTCCTCACTTAGAAGGCTTCTGTAAGTTTCCCGTTGTGAATTACTTGGCATGCAGCATTGTCGTATAACTTTTGGATGAGATGTATAATTGTCGATGGGACCCCGTAGTAGCGAAGTAGTTGCCATATGACCTCTCGATCAACGCTGTCGAAGGCCTTCTCGAAGTCGATGAAGTTGAGATAGAGAGGTAACTGCCATTCCAAGCTTTGTTCAATGATGATCCGTAGAGTGGCGATTTGATCAGTACATGACTTGTTTCTCCCGAATCCAGCCTGTTCCGGTCGAAGTTTTTGATCCAGGGCTTGTTTGATTCTCTCCAGGATGATCCGGCTTAGTGTTTTGCTTGGAATGGACAGAAGCATAATTCCACGCCAGTTTTTACATTGACTTTAGTCTCCTTTCTTTGGTAGTTTGAATAATAATATCAATGGATTACAGTTCAACAGTACCAACCTAACAATAAACTGAATATCAGAGAAATTAGGAAAGATAATAATACAAATACATTAATTCATAGTCTCTACTGTAGGCCAGGGCAGCACTAGTGCCTGGACTTGCTTCTTTTGCGCACAAAGCGCTGGTTGTTTCACCCGATTCGCGATAGCCTCTCTTATTTGGAGTATTGGTATCCCAACGGAAATCTTAAAAGAATTGTTATTAAGGTGTAACAAAATGCCAGCATTGAAGAATTCGTCTCAATCATCTACCAGCTACCAAGTAAACTCCTAAAACCTCCAGGTACTACATCCTGCAAAAAAATAGAAGCTATTGAGATTCACGTGAGACAACCAGTGCTCTGTGTGCAGAAGAAACACGTCCAGTCACTACTATTGCCCTGGTCTTTAGTAAAGTTTAGAAATTCATGAATTCATATTATTATCTTTCCTAATTTCTCTCATATTCAGTGTATTGTTATGTTGATGCTATAGAACTGTAACCCGACTGCTATTATTATTGATTCTATATCATTTAAACAACATTAATATTGTTAATAACACTAATTCATTCACTACTATTATGTATGTATAACTGTAGAACCTGATGATGAAGTTATCAAAAAGAATGTTCCTTGTTCAATAACCATTCTTTTGCAAAATTCTTTTTTATTCGTTTTAAATTTACTTAGCTTCGCTGAAAGAACTCAATCAGATGGGGGAATTTCTCGATTTCTGATAATAACTGGTTGGTCTACAGTACTGAGAAACAAAACGAGTAAAACATAACTAATCCTTACAAACCAAACTATAGAAAGTTAATCTGATGCTCGCTAGTGACTTGCTACAGGTTGGAGTTTCCTGAGTTCTAGTGAGAAGTCGTGACCAGTGAGGTCCAATTAGATGTCACGTGTGTGGATGGATGTCCCACCAACGACAATGGTTGGGGTCGCGCTAAATCACGAATTGGTAGAAGTTAGAATTCACGAGCCATTGAATCGGGTTCCAGTGGCTGAATGGTATACGAGCTTGCCTTGTAACCGGAAGGTCCTGGGTTCGATACCCAGTGGGTGCGTACTGCCGATGATTCCCAAACTAGGATGAAACAGCAGCTGTCCAGTACTCCCTGGTTTTCAATGGTTCTCTAACTGATATCAATCCGTGATCAACTCGTAAAACATAACTAATCCTTACAAACCAAACTATAGTAAGTAAAACGAGGTTTTTCTTGTAGATATAATTAATTGCCTTTCAAATTCCTTTTTCTCAAATCACTTTTTTTTCTGGTTTATCTTTAGGTAGAATCGAATAGCCCTCATTTTTGTCAAACAAAGAAGTGACCGAAATCAATAAAGTCATCGACTGCTACTCTAACTTTTATCTACTAAATATGCTTAACAGTGTAAATAAATCTACTATATTGTTATCTGTAAAAATATGCTTATCGATCTACTCGGGACCGTTAGTTTCTTTGAACGCATATGTACGTCTTTGTGATACACACAGTAACACTAAAAACTTTATTACATGCATGCACAAACATATAATATTTTACATCTGCATTGATTTCCAATTAAAAGAAACCAGAATAAGGACATGTGTACAAATAGTTATCACTATTTTAGTTAATCCAACTTACAAGTAGAAAAATAAATCCATGCTGAGTTGAATAACTGAAAGAAACGAAGCTTGTGTAGTTTAGTGTTAGGTTGTGTTCAGTATTGTTGTATCCATATTATTATTATCACTGTTCCCTTAGATTCCGAGTGAAACATACGGCTTTAACTGCATTTGTCCACTTTGTTTATTCTCTTCAGTGACTTCTTCAGCTGGGCCGACAATGGCCCATAGTTCCTCATCCGTTTCTCGGAAGATCTCTTTCATTTCACCCTCTGGTGCCCTCCACATGTCGCTTCCTATTCCGGTTCCACTCGAAGGCATGGCATACGATGTCATTCGAAAGTCCCTTCAGCATATATCCAATCCATTTCCATTTTCTTCTACTTATTATTTTTCACAACGATTTATCACTTTCCAAGATTATTTTCTACTGGTAAATTATTATTACGTAATTGAAGACTCCATATATGCAGTGGTTAGATTTGGGAAATGCATTCACATTATCTGATTCATAAAAATACCAGAAATCTCTGTCTTCAAATATTAATTGTGCAATAGTAATGCGGAATAATTTGCGTGATGACATTTCTTTGCCATGGAATTACAAATAATTGCCTTACATTCCATGAATTAGATAAGAATGAAAAATATCGACCACAAAATTTATTAATATCTTGATCTGACGTTTGTTAGAGAACCATTGAAGAACCTGGCAGTAGTGGACAGCTGTTTCGTCCTAGTTTGGGACTCTTACTTATTTTTATTTTATTTTTGATTACAGCTTGATTCCACACTGTATTTTTAGTACAAGTATGGAATTTTCAGCATGGATGTCGGTAGCCCAAATTTTGCAGGCCGATCATAGATATCAGGTGTGCGTTGGCGGGGGATCGAATCTTGGACCATGTGCATGGTCGGCAAGAGTCCTAACCACTGTGCCACCGACGCACATCATCATTTTCATCAGTACTCACCCATTAGGGTTAAGCGTACTAATGAGGAGTCCAAAATTAGGATGAAATACCTGTCCAGTACTCCCAGGTTTCGCAATAGTTCTCTTACCAATGTCAGCTCATGATGAAATCCTGTAACCAATCAACCAAATGCCTGCAAACGAATACTTGAATAATTAATATCTGCTGGTTCGCAAATCTCAAATTTAACCTAAAAGCAACACTTGAAAGCTCAATGAACTGTGTTCACGTAAATGATCACTACTAACTAGTTCCTTCACTTCTAAGTCTGTTAGCTATTCTGTCCGAATAAACAATTCAGAATTTTTAAAATGTGAAATGTCTATTGATGGTGGAAGGAAACCTTTGCTATGGGAAAAGTCAAGATATTACACTTAAAGCTTTATATTGTACGTTCCATTTGTACAGAGACAATCATAAATTTACTTTCCTCCCAACAGGTCGGAAACCTATGAGTTTTTGACAGCTGTCTGGTCCTGGTTTCGAACTCTTCGTCAGTATGCCCACAAGGATTCCACCTAACACTTCCTGTATAGAGCTAGTAACTATTAAGTACCAGATTAATTACCAAGTGTTGGTTTGCTGTAGGGATTTGACTGGTTGCAGGTTTCGCCATGATTTGACATCAGTTAGAGAACCATTGGAAAACCTGGGAGTACTAGACAGCAGTTTCTTCCTAGTTCTGGACTCTTTATCAGTACTCACCTACCAGGGTTCAGACGCAAGACCCTCCTGTTATGAGGCAAACCCCCAGACCATTCAACTCCTTGCTCATGAATTCCAACTGCTACCAATTCTCGATATACATAGCATAACCGACAGGTAATATCCTAGGTGACAAAGTGATCTCTTATCTGACTTGGTTCACATCGCTGGTTACAACCTCTCACAAACTGGCGGGAGTTGGAATTAATGGGCCATTGGACAGAGTCCCAGCAGTTTATGAATTCGCCTGGTAAACAGAAGGTCCTGGGTACGTACTGATGAAGAATCCGGGATTAGGAAGAAACTGCTGTCCAGTACTCTCGGGTTTCCCAACGGTTCTCTAACTGGGGTCAGCTTGTGGCGAAAGCTGTGAACAATCGAATCCTTGAAAACCAACACTTAATAATTAGAACTCTTGTCATCAGAATGAAAGTAAAATTCCAGCAACATTTCAAACTTTACACTGTGTCAATCAACAGACTGCAATCTAAGAGTTAATCGTTATCTGACGACCCTTCTAGCTCTATTCATCATTATTCTCATTGTTTATGAATTTCTCTTTGTTTGAAAACTATCACATATGATATAGTTAGTAAAAATTCAGATACAAATGAATATTACTCACAGAAAATAGATGAAAAAACGATTTCAAATGTTCCTCCTCTTCAGTATACGTGAAAAAGTCTCCTGCATCATTCGCCATTTCAGTTAAATTAATTGTACAACCAGTTTGTTTATCAAGTATGGCATTCAGTTTGTCTAGTTGTAGCTGAAATTTTTTTTCAGTAATAGAAAGTATATGTTAGTATTCTAAACAGTTACAAAGTTGAATAATTTTCACATATTTCATTTAAAAACCCATTTGAAGGAAACACACAGAGACTATTCACCATTGAATGACTGATTATTATCAGTGGGATGAACGTGAGTAGGATTTTCGACCTTTGATGACATTTGTAATGCAAATAAGTGAGTAACCTTCAGAATCACTAGGGAAACTGGGTTTAATATATTAAAGAAATAATAAAAAGCGATCAGGGGTCTGATCGATTTTAGTCGGTTACATTCGCAAAGTGTTTTTATCTAACTTACTAACTCAAATAATCTTCTGTTTAATACAGAGAAAAATGACCATAGGAAAGTCGACAGATATCCTTCTCATGTTGACTCTGTGTATGCAAATTTACGTGTATCTGAGGTGGCATTTACCCTGGGAGAATAGAAAGAAGGGTATACCTTCGATTTTCTGAACATGTACCAAAAAGCTTATGTCTCAGGGGGGACAAATGTTTATGACAGTGCCACTGCCAGACATCTCATCAATATGCATCATGGGATGAACACCGCGAAATCCTTTAAAATTATCAATAGACAAAATAGTTCTATTCTCCTCAAGTTTGTCGACGTAATCGCTATCAAGCGCCTGGAAATCGATATATATATATATATATATATATATATGTTAAGAAAGAAGTAGTTGTCAATCTTTCCTTACCCTAGTTACCTGACGGTTTTACTCAGTCTTTCTGATATGTATCCACACATACATACATTTATGTGTGTGTGTATGTTGGTCTCTCTTTCTGTTTGCTCGCTTAGTCTGTGACCATTTCACTTGTATGAACCCGTCTCCTTTAACAATGTATATTCCCCTTATATTATATATAATATGAGTGTTTGTTGACAGTCCGTTGCTTGGTGACATATATCCATATATGGTGGTTGTTGATATGTCTGCTATATTTCGCTATGTATATATGGATCGATACTTCATTATAATTAGCCATTCATGTTAAGACTGTCTAATGATTGTTCACACCCTTGTCTGAACATTCATATATATTTCGCTCTCACAATTTGTGTGACTGACTTACCACTTACTTTGGTATGATACCACTTATTGCTTCTCCTTGTGTTTGGAAAATAGAAGTATCATCGCAAACCTAGTGGTCTTCTGATTTCCGCCTTCTTGCGTCAGGACTATTAAATTCTCGACCAGTCCATAACAATAATCTGTCGACGAGTACATAACAATTTGGCGACGGGGAAAATTATTATTAACCACTTGGCGAGCAGAACATAACACTTTCTCTCTCTTATTTGATTAGGTAATCTTTCCGATCCTGTCTATAGTTTAACTTTGCTTGTGATGATTTGATTTGAACTCACTACACTGTTACTCAACTTACTAGTTACTCACCATCTTATTCACCCTTTATCTCTATTACATAACTTGTCTGCCATTGTATTTAAGCCCTTATATATTTGGTTAAACTTGAACTTTCTGGGTGTAAACTACATCAGTGCAATTTCTAAGCACTGTTTATTAAGATTTATTAGTGTGAAATATTCCCACATTATGAATTAAAAGTCACTCTAAACGAAGAATATTCTTTCCAATAATTTCAATAATTATTGAAAAGAATATTCTTCGTTCAGATTGACTATATATTAAGTCTTTTGTCAACTGACATTATGTAGCATTTGCAAGTGTCCTACAGTTGTTCTGTAAACAAACTTGATGATTTCTTTAGGTAGTAGGCACTTGATAAGAAGCCAGCGAAATAAATTCTCATGCCATCTTATTCCTCACAAAACCCTGTTTTTGCTTTATTTGCTTTCTTTCTATCATAGAACTTACTTTATATGTACAACAACAGTCCATTATTGCATAGTTGTGTGTTTTGGGTTAATTTAGCCTATACTATATACCGGTAAGGTATACTAGTGTAACAACAGAAGACAGGGGCTAGGCAACAGATCGTTTATTAAGGAAATCAACACGTATTTATACATTTTCATGTACATTATTATAGCTTATTCAAGCAAATAAACACACTCTTCTGATTGGTTCTTTCTCACAGAAAGTTGACCTTGCATCTCTTTGTGACAGTTTCTTGAATGTCAGATCATCTCTATGTTAACTGTATCTGCCTACGCAAAGTCTGCTGTGATTGGTTGTTGAATCAGTCTTGTTCATATTTTCTGACGATCAATATTAGCGACTTAAACATTGACGTAAATTAATGTCTACCAATTTTGGCTAGCAGCCACCTCTCACCGCACTAGCGGTTGATTAACATTTTCCAAGCTTTATTCTCAGATTGTAGCTGTTTCATCTTTACATAAACAATGAGGATTAACGGAAAATATCTCCAAAGATGAACAGATATTTAAGAAAAATTCTCTGACGTTTGAACTTATTGGCTTATCGGAAAGCTTTTAGTGTTGTATCAGAGACGCTAAATTTTTTTAGACTGATTAGATCACAAAGTGCTGGATCATTGATCTCAGTGATCTATTTCTCTCTGTTTGCACTTTCAGTTATCTAATATTTATGGCCTGCATTCTCAAGTTATCTAATTTAGGCATGCGAATATTTTGTAGATGAGATAGTATGCAGTGACAAGAACCGACGATATGAAATGATATTATACCACCCAGCTTAATCCTTTATTCTTGCTTTGTTCATATTCGTCGAGGGAGAAATTTACATTAAGTATTTACACGTGGTTAACTGATATTTCATAATCATTTGTCTTTCTAAGAGCTAAACAGCAAGAGAGAAATGCGAAACAAATAAAACAATGGTTGATCACTTTAAAGGATTCTTGAATCAACCATCACCTTCAGCTCATGCAGGAATACCAACAACAGCAAACACAGAACTTCTAGTAGACACGGACTCTCCAAGGAAAGCATGAATCCTGAGTGCGACCAAGCTAATTAACTCCGGGTGGAAAGGCAGCAGGAGCAGATGGCATCCCTCCCGAAGCATTTGAAAAGGACCCAGAGACTGTGGCAGATGTGTTCAGGCCATTATTGCGAAAGGTTTAAAAGGATAGAAGAAAAGTTGCCTGATTAGAAGAAAGGCTGCTTTGTCCGGCTACCAAAGAAGGGCGATTTAGGCCTGACTCTGCAAGAACTTGCTGTGGAATAATACTCTTGTCCATGCCAAGTAAAATTCTATGTCGCACCAAGCTGGAGAGTATAAAAGATGCACTGGATACACAATTCCACCAGCCACTGGAACAATCCGGATTCAGATAAGACAAATCATGTGCTGATCAAATTGAGACTCTACGCATCATCGTCATCGAAGAAAGCATAGAATGGTAGTCATACCTCCCTCTACCTCAAATTCCGTCATCGACTTCGAAAAGCCCTTCAACAGACAGTGTTGACCAAGAAGTAATTTGTAAACCACTTCAACACTACGACGTGCAGTACCTACATATTTATCAACCTCAGTGTCACGTGCCAGGTGATCAACGACGAGAAACTCAGCAAGGCGTTTGAAGTGCATATAAGGGTAAGACATGGCTTCCTATTACCACCAACGATAATATTCCTCATTGTGGTGGACTGGATTATGCATCAGATTTTGCATGGAAGTGAGAAGATAGGAATACGCAGAAAGATGTCAAGGCCATCATGGATCGAAAAGGCAAGATATGCCTTCATCAACCTGAAACAAGTTTGGAAATCTTCTGCACTCAGCCAGCATTTGGATTTTCAACACTAATGTCAAGTCAGTCAATCAGTCAGTTCTCCTATACGGGTCAGAAACTTGACACGTTTTTCACTAAAAGGATTCCCAACAGGTTTCAGATTTTCATCAACAGCTGCCTTCTTCGCCGGCCCCATATTAAAGATCAAAATGGCTGGCCAGAAAGAATTAAATAACAAGAAACTCTGCAGCGGAACAAACCAACCAAAAGCCGATAGTTCAATAAACAGGTAGGAGAAAATAGGGATGGATCGGGCACACGCCAGTCAGAAGGCCGTCGAATGACATCGCCCACCATACCATCGCTTTAGTGGAATCCCAATGGGAGGCGAAGAGTGGGTCGCCAGCCTGAGGGTGACATGGAGAAGACCGTGTGAGAAGGAGATGCTAGACTATGGTCAATCGGGGACACAAATGAAGGGGACAGCAGAAAACAGAACTGGATATGTGTTGCTGAAGCCTTATGTTACACACGGAACCCAAAGGAACAATAATAATAATTTTTGGAAATTCATACACACTGTCTAGACATTAAAGTATTACGATAAAATCTCATACAATAATTTACCAACACTGGTGAGGTAAAAGTTACATTTCAGATACTTAATATGAACTAACAGACGATAAATGTCGAAGGGATTAAGTTCCGTTTAGCGAAACTGACTAAACTCTCTTCGTTATCCCACTTTTCCAGTAATACATAACAAGTTTTCTTCCGTAATTCAAGACAATTTATGAAAAAATGAAATGAAACTGGAAATATTTTGAATTCATTACTTTCTAAATTAAATTTATTGATAATGTCAAGCATTCCAGACACTGTAAACTTTGCCAAAGAGAAGCTATACGTTTCTACGACTGTTTTTTTATATTACTGATTCGTAGATTAGTCAATGTTCACGTGAGAAAAAAATCCTATTTCTAACTTTATTGTTAGCAGTACATCAGTAACCACAAACCATAAATTTTATCACCTCGTTAAAACATTATATGTGCATATATATAGGCAAATCTGTAATTACCAGCATAAAGTATAAGTAGAGTCTGGTTGAGAAAAAAAGATAATACTAACACATAAATTTCAAAACGATATCAAACTGATTCTTGTATCAATTGTTACATTTTCATCATAAATCAACATCAGTTAGACAGGTCACTGGAAGTCAGAAAACACTAGACAGTTGTTTCGTCCCAATCTGGAGTTCCTCATCATCCGTGTACACCCACTGCCCTACCAGGGATCAAATCCGGACCTTCACGTTACGTGATTTAGCTCGTTGACCATACTGCAAGTTGGGTCAAAATTCAGTAACCTGTGAATCTTAACACTGTCGAATTGTGAGGTGGGTGTTCACTGAAGGCATTGGTGAGAGCAGCTCTATATCACAAGCCGATGAAGTTAAAATTCAGGGGTCACTGAATTGTGATCGAAATGGCTGAATTGTCAACGAGCTTGGTTTTGTAGCCTGGAGGTCCCTGGTGAGGTTGTAGATGAGCACTGATGAAGGGTCCCAAGATGGGACGAAACAACAATCTAGTGCCCTTGGTTTTCAATGGCCCATTTAACTTATGCTGTTTACTGACAAAAATTTAACAACTAAAATTAATCCAAATCAGTAACAATCCCATAATCTGAATATCGATCACCGGCTCACTGATGGCTACTGCATCCAGTGTGCGCTATATTACGAGTCGACAGAGTTAAGAATCATGGTTCACTGAATTCCAACCCAGGTGGCTGAATGGTCAATGAGCTTTGGTCTTGCAAACTTAAGCTCCTGGGTTGATGACTGACAGGATAATGTGTGTACACTACTGAGGGGTTCCGAAATAAGGCGTAACAGACATTTAATACTGTCCGGTTTTCAGTGGTCTTAGTTCACAATGAAATCTAATAAATGGAAATAATCCGAATCCCCATAAATACTCTAATCTGAATCGTGTGTGTCAAAATAATATGAAGCCTCCCCAGTCTCTTCACTACACTACTTATGCTCTGTAGTCACAATATAATTTATCTTCCTTGAAGGCATCATTCTCATTTAGGTCACATCAGCAAAAGTGGTGATACAGGCGTATCCACACGATATTTTTTTTGTCGAATTCCCAATTCACCTAACTCATAATTTCTGTCAGGCGTTATTTGCTTACTTACATAAAATAAGTAGTATCGTCTTTTTAAACTAAAAGCGAAGATGATGATCATATTGGATAGAGAATTACTTTTGGCGAAATGAAGACATCTTTGTTATGCCTATGGTAAAAGTCCCCAAGAGATGAGATGTTATTACGTCCAAAAGTAAATCCATCTAAAATACATTAGTGCATGGATCGTTTTCTCCTTTTTTACCAGTGTGATTACTGTAGTTACTTTTATCTTTGCTATCCAAACAGTAGTGCCATCCCGCATAGATTGCATTCTTAAAAGCATGGAGATCATCCCACTCCGAATGTTGGCTAGATTGCAGGATTCTGTCCGAATTACTTGGAATTAATTCCTTATAGACCTGAAAGGGCACAATATGAAAGTCTACGTTTAATAGTAAGTGATGTGGAATGAATTAACATACATCATTTAAATTTGAGGGACGTTAAATGATTCCCGGATGAAAGAGTCATGTACGTTTAAAGACTGTTTTTAGACAATCTCAACAGGTAAGGAAACAAAGTTGCTTTTTAATAATTCAGAATTTCTTCCGATAGGTGTAGAGTTCTAATAAACTTATAGGTAAGGAATATCGAAAAAGACGACAATGAATTCCATTCCTCAGCATATTTTAAAAAATACAAAAAAATTAGTCTAATAAACAATTAATTTAATTTGTACACGAAAAGCTAAATCCTTATTGAAATGAGCACTGAAGATGTTGTACAGGAGGACACTGAAAGCTTCATAATTAAACCAACCAGCTCAGAGAACACAAAAACACTTTCTTTACTTTTTCAAATATAAATATAAAGACTTTATGAACACAACCTGAAGTCTACTGGTGTATCTATTACAAAACTTGGCCTCCGTTGGGTAAATCTAGCGTCACCAGGTACTGTCTGCCTTATAGTGTTTAAACATATTTATGTTTGGTGACTTGAAATACTTAAAAACTAGTTCAGGACTTTACAGGATTAGTATACAATTGGTGGATGGTGGCTAGCAG